TTCGGAGACCCAAGTGAATGTTCTTTTTCTCAGGTCAGCAAGGATTTTCTCCTAAAGCTTTGAAAGAACCAGGTTCCTTTGCAAACACTGAGAAGTTAAAAGCACAACTCCTGCAAGTTCAGGCAGAGCTCAATAATTCAAAGCAAGAATATGAAGAATTCAAAGAACTAACCAGGTAAAGTGCAAATACACCTGTGTATTCACCTGTGGTCTTTTAGCGTTTTTTGTTAATAGTAACCATTTACCACGGTTGGCTGTTTGTTTTAAATATTAAATTCTCACATTACAACTATTAATAGTTTGACAGGAAGGAAGCCAGCTTGCTTTAGCGCTTTAATAATACAGTTAATGAAGGAGATCAGCAGATGGCGTAATGGCTGCATCGCTGGACCCCCACGTAGTTGAACGTGGTTCGAATCCCAGATCTGGCGGCTTAAAACTCATACTGGGCATGTGTGCGTGCCCAAGATCCCAAGAGGAGAATGGAAGAGAAGGGATTGCAGTGAGGCCATCCCCCTGGGGGAGTGATTCTTACTTTCTGTCTCTCTGTCTCTCTGGTGAGCACATGGATCCTGCAGCAAAAATCTCTCTTAAAAAAGAGTACAGTTAATGGGGACCAGCAGTTGCCATAATGGCTATGTCACCGGACTCCCATGTAGTCGACCATGGTTCGAGTCCAGACCCGGTGGCTTAAACTCACACCGGGCACGTGTGTGTGTGTGTGTGTGTGTGTGTGTGTGTGCCCAAGATCCCGAGAGGAGACTGGAGGAGAAGGGATTGCGGCGTGACCATCCCCCCGGGGGGTGATTTCTCGCTTTCCGTCTCTCTGCCTCTCTCTGTCTGTCTGGCGAGCGCACATGCCCCATAGCAAAAACCTCTCCACAAAGAAAAAAGTACAGTTAATGGGCTAGGTGATACAGGTTTTTTCAGGTACCTGTTCTATTCAGTAAATGGAACTTGTACAGGAAATTTTTCATCTGGTTACCATGTTTAAGTCACAGTTATGAAATAAATGCAGATTTTTAGAAATGGTAGGTTTGTTAATATTCTCACTAGTTGCTGATTTTGTAAAAGCAAATACGGACCACTTTCGTTTTATTTTGTTTGTTATTGGCAGAGTGCGTGTGCACTCAGCAGAGAGGTAGAGGAAGCACCCAGTGGGGCTTGGGCACGTCCAGTCCTACCTGTCAGGGATTTGGACACACACATGCACCAGGTGGGTTTTTCAAGCCACTGGGCTGTGATTTGAACTGCAATTGGCTATGTCAGCCCCATTTATTCTATAACTAAGATTAATCTTATCCTAAAGTATCAATGTGTTTTAATAACCTATATGTATAGGTTTTGAATTTGAGCTTTGATTTCGTGCTCTTCTGTTTCCCGGTATAATACCTTGGTCTCTGAGCCATATTTTACCCACCCGGAAAGTGAGTAATAAACTGAGAATATCTCTGAATTAGAGACAGTTATGAAATACCAATAGAAACGGTAAAGCCCTCTACTAATGTTCAATACCACCTGTTACCGGAACTACTCAATTTTACGATGTCTGTTAGGAAGAGGCAGCTAGAATTGGAATCAGAGCTTCAGTCTTTGCAGAAAGCGAACCTTAATCTTGAAAACCTTCTGGAAGCAACCAAAGCCTGCAAGCGGCAAGAAGTTTCCCAGCTGAATAAAATTCACGCCGAAACACTGAAGGTGGGTAATCCCAAGCAGCACTCCTTCTAAAACCAGGGCCGTCCCGTGCCATTAATACGGCGGGAGTCTGCCCTGCTCATCTCATACCCGGGCTGAACCTGTGAAGGCAGCGAGCACTGGGTCACACTGCTCCTGGTGTCCGAGGCTCCCCGTGGGGAGGGTGTGGAGGGACCCAGCATCCCACTGTCATGACGCTGACCGCCACTGACCGTAGGCAGGTTTCCGAACCTTTGAACCTCGTCTTTTCTCCTCTCTGACCTGGGGTGGAGGTAGTTTAATCGCAGGCTTTCAGAGCAGGAGGTGAGCCCGCCGATGGAGTGTGCTAAGGAGGCAGCGGTCTCACACATGGCGGCCGTTACTGCCCTGTCACGTGTGCACAGGGCTTGCAGGGGGAGACTAGAAGGGCAAGGGTCACCTGAAGGGTCATAGGTAACACGAAATAACATGAGGGGTTTGCCCTAAATAGCCATAGCTCCATGGGACCAGCAGATGGCATAAGGGTTCCGTTGCTAGACCCCCATGTAGTCGACCACAGTTCGAGTCCTGGACCTGTGGCTTAAAACTCATACTGGGCATGTGTGCGTGCCCAAGATCCCAAAAGGAGAATGGAAGAGAAGGTTGCACCCCTGGGGGTGATTTCTCACTTTCTGTCTTTCTCTCTCCGGCAAGCACACACACCTATAGCACAAATCTCTCAAAAATGAATGAATGCTCCCTTCTTGTTCAGGACTGTCATAGCCACAGTTTGCAAAAAGTGCAGCTTTTGATTAATGCAATGTAGTGTCAATTAGATGTACATTCCTGAGGTCTTTTATCTGTTGTAGCTTTGTCTTTTTCTTTTTCTTTTCATTACATCAGGTGCATTGCCCTGTAAATGGTAGTGAAATAAAAAAAGTTATAACTTTGAAAAAAAAAAAAAAAAAAGAATGAATGCTCATATAACCATAGCCCATAAAAGAAAAAACATGAATGTCCGAGAATGCGGAGACGAAAGGGGAAACACCGAGCACAGTGACGCTGCTGCCGAGCCTGCTGCTGGTGATTGTAGCATTTGTACCAAAGTCTTCGAAGGTTAAGAAAGGCTTTCTTTTACATCTTCATTTTTACAGAGAGATTTTTTTGCTATAGTGTGCATGCTTGTCGGACATACAGAGAAAGAGAGACAGAAAGCGAGAGATCACCCTCCGGGAGATGACCACACCACAATCCCTTCTCCTCCATTCTCCTCTCGGGATTTTGAGCACGTACACACATACCCAGCGAGTTTTTCACCACCACGTCTGGGACTTGAACTGTAGTCGACTACGCGGGAGTCCAGCAACGTAACCTTTACGCCATCTGCTGGTCCCTACATCTTAAACAGTAATATCTGTTTGTCATGGTTATTATCTTAGAAGTGATGCTTATTGTGTCACTTGTTAGAAGTTTACTTTTAAAAATACCTTTACTCGTTTGTTTGATTAAGTAATACATATTACCTAAACTTGTTTTATTTTTGTTTTTTTTATTTTGTTTTTGCTATAAGGATGCATGTTCTCCAGAGAGCGAGACAGAGAGGGAAGTTGATAAATCACCCGTAGGGGGATGGCCACGTCACAATCCTTTCCCTTCCATTCTCCTCTTGGGATTATGGGCACACACGCACACCCAGCATGATTTTCAAGCTGCCAGGTCCAGGACTTGAACCATACACTCAGCCCTGTAGGATTCAGCACCTTAATCTCCATGCTACCTGCTGGCCCCATGTGACTAAAAGTTAAAAGCAGGAAAAGTATTCAGGGGCAAGTCTCTTTCCTTCCGCTGTCTTTGCACCAGCGAAGACTGTCTTGGGGGGCAATTACTGTCACTAGGTCAATGTCACTAAGGATTTTCTCGTACACAGTGGCCATGTGCTGTGTGCAGCCCTCCATAGCTCAACATGCACATGTGTGTTTTAGGCATAGCAGTGTGTTCAGTTTGTCTCATGTCGGAATCAAGAAAAAGAACTCTACTTTTTTGTTTTTGGTTTTATTTTGGGGTTTTGACCTGCTTCAGGAACTGCACAAAAACCCTTCATTGCAGATACTCTTACTGGAAGGAAAGTCGGGAAGCACTGTATGGAATGCTTGTTTTTTGGGGTCCCCCAAGATGCAAAATAAAGCCACAACCATGAGAAAAGTATGAAAAGAGAAGTTTTAAATAAAACAGTGAAGATTTTAATAGAAAACGCACCCAGAAGGCACTGGGGTGGGCAGTTGTCAGAGCACATGCAGCCCCAATGGGGCTGGGTGTCACTTCTACCGTGGAGTCTTGTTAGCAGAGTGGTTTCTGTCACTGTAGCTGGGCCCTGGGCTTGTTTTGGGGCTTCCGTTGTGACTGCTTGCTTCTGACTAGGGAAGGGGGCTTAATTGCCCAGCTGGGGGAAGGCATACTAAGGCCCAGAGTGCACTTTGAGGGTGACATCATGCACACAGGGTGACTTTTACCCATGACTTCTACTGCAGGGTTGGCAGGGGAGGTACAGGCGAAGCTCCTGGGAGAATACCTGTGTCCGAATGCAGAACAGCGAGAGGGCGGGTGTTAACCTTCTCGAGACCTTCGGCCTTCGCGAAAGCTCAGGCAGTGAGAAGTGAGAGGAGCTTCCACTCCAGCACTGGGAGGGAGTGGGGTCTAGTCCTCACCCCAGTAAGCATGATCAACGAGGCAGCTGTCCTCGTGGGACTTGGGACTTCCTCTGTAGCCGTCTGACTGCCTATAACATGCTTTATTTCGCCTGGAAATGCTATTTTTTTCTTATGAAGGAGAAAAGGCTTTTTCTTTGCTTTATAAAAGGAGGTGGCCTTTAATATCTTTGTTATGAAATTATTCTTTGTATGATGTTAAGATATCAACTTATCAAATTTCATTTTTTAAAATTATATTAGAGACCAGCAGTTGGCATAATGACTATGTCGCTGGACTCATATACTCAACTGCAATTCGAGTCCCGGACCCAGTGACTTAAACTCATGCCAGGTGCGTGTGCGTGCGTGCCCAAGATCCCAACAGGAGAATGAATGAGAAGGGATTGTGGCATGGTCATCGCCCCGGGGAGTGATTTTCGCTTTCTTTCTGTCTCTCATGCAAAAACCTCTTTAAAAAAAAAAATCTTTTAGGGATCAGCAGTTGGTGTAATGGATATGTCACTGGACTCCCATGGTTCAAGTCCTGAACCCAGTGGCTTAAAATCATGCCAGTCACATGTGCGTGCATGCCCAAGATCCCGAGAGGAGAATGGAGAAGGGATTGCAGCGTGGCCATCCCCCCTGGGGGGTGATTTCTCACTTTCTATGTCTCTGCCTCTCTCTATCTTTCTGGAGAGTGCATGCGCCCTATAGCAAAGACCTCTCAAAAAAAAAAAAAGTTATATTGGAATTTTGCTTGGAAGTGTATTGAATTGATAGGTTTGTTTCCTCTTAGGCACTCGGCTGCTGTTTCTTCAGGATTCTTGTTCCTTTTTCATGATGAATACGATTTTTCATTTTATCCTTTATAAGTGATCAAATGTACCGGTCTTCGTGTGTGCTCATGTTCTCTTTCCTAACCATTCTGTGCTGCAGACTATAACTACACCAACCAGGGCTTATCAGCTTTGTTCTCGACCGCTGTCAAAACTCAGCCCCGAAACGGGACCCTCCTCGCACATTCAGAGCCCTGGCATCTTAGAGGACGGCATAGCGGACGAGCCAGTGCCCCCAGAGATGAGCGAGCAAGCGTTCGAGGCCGTATCTGAAGAGCTTAAAGCAGTGCAGGTAATGCGTAGTGTCAGGAGAAAGTCAGACATTCATTTAACAGTTTTCTCTCACGCATTTATGTGTGTGTGTGTGTGTGAGTGTGTGAGTGTGTGTGTGAGTGTGTATGTGTGTGTGTTTATTACGATTTTCCAGCTGTTGTGTGTGAGTGTGTATGTGTGTGTGTTTATTACCCGCTGTTAGGTCCTGGACTGGAATTGCAGTTAGCCATGTGGGAATCTAGTGCCTTAACCACCACACGGTCCCTTGACTGGCCCCTTGACTATTTATTTAAATAGATTTGTTTTCAGTGTGGGTGATCTCTGGCTTGAAAATCATCCACTCCTGCTCTTTAAAGAGCACACTTCACACAGTCTTTATTGTGTTTGAAATATCACGTTGTTTGATTATCTCTGAGTTCCAGTGGTTTGGTAACTGTCAAAAAGTTTTTCTGTTGTCCAGTAAAACTTGGAGTGGGCCAGGCCACCCCACGCCCAGTGATCTGCCCATTCCAGGCCATGGGGGCTTTCCTGGAGAGCACTGCCGAGCAGCCCTGGGGAAGGGTCTTAGAAGCCCCAGGATGGCTCTATGACTTTTTCTAAGTCGTTTTCTGGTCCCAGAAAGACCTTTGACAGAGTTGTTTGTGTGAGATATTAAGTTTATTTTATGATTACTTATCTCTTTTATTAATTATTAGTATTATTTAATTTGCTATAGGGCATGTGTGCTCTCCAAAGAGAGGGAAGGGAAGTGAGGAATCAGCAAGCCGCCAGGTCCAGGACTTGAACCGCAGTAAGCCATGTCGGAGTCCAGCACCTTACCACCATGCTCCCAGCAAATCAGCAAGCCACCAGGTCCAGGACTTGAACCACGGTCAGCCATGTGGGAGTCCAGCACCTTACCACCATGCTCCCAGCAGCCCCTTGCTTGTTTCTAATGAAGAAGTGGAATGTTTGAGACTCCCACTAAGAGACTTCTGATGACCGTAGTTCTCGCGTTGCAGGAACAGATGGGCGCTCTTCAAGCCAAGTTGGATGAAGAAGAGCACAAGAATCTGAAGCTTCAGCAGCAAGTGGACAGACTGGAGCACCATTCCACACAGATGCAGGAGGTGAGCCCACGCGTGTGGCCAGGGACACATGTGAGACGGGCCCTCTAGGCCCAGGAGCTTCTCCAGGCCTTACTGCCAGGGCTGTCTGAGCCACACTGTCTCCTCGGTCACGTAGCGTATTGCCCAGATAGCGGGACGGACACCCAGATCCGAGCTCTGGCCAGCTCGCCAGGGAGCGACTGAACGTTTGCTGTTGATTTAGAACACAGGGTGGGCAGTCTCCATTCTTGTGGTTCTACTTCACGTGTCAGTGCTTGTAGTTCCTGGTAACAGCAGTGGTCAGAGACCTCAAGGCTAGACTGCAGAGACAGAGACACTGGGCCTGGCCCCTCACATACTGGTCAGCACTGTGCAGAGGAAGCTGGGTCCCACGTGGCCAGCCGGGGTTTGAGTCTGGCCCCAGTGGCTTGCACACCAAGGATGTACACATGGGCCCAGCATCCTGCCTGGGGGGAGGGCTCAGCGACAAAGATCATGGGTGGCTGGCCCGTGGTCCGTGCTGCCTCTGTCTTCTCTCCTTCTCCCCCATGTTCTCCTGTTCACCTCTGGCATAATAAAAGTAATTAAAAATAAATTTTAAACTAACAGGTTAATGATTTAGAGAGTGTCTTAGCATTCCAGTATTCCTTTCTCAATAAATTCATCTTTTGGCCGAAGCTTTTCTCATCAGAAAGAAACGAGTGGACCAAGCAGCAGCAAGAACATCTCTCGCAATTGAATGTCCTTGAAAAGCAGCTTCGAGACGCCCAGACTAAGAGTGACTGTAAGTCCAAGCAGTTAGCCTTGTGGCCTACAGGAGTCCTATCACTCATTCTGTTTGTCCTCGTAGAAATAATGTGCCCCTGACTCTGGTTGGGGTGGTTACTTGTTAGGTGCTGTACTCAAGGGTGTCTGGCAGTGGTAAGTAATAGTAATGTCATAAAAGGTCATTAATGTTCTCCATGCTTTCCCACAAACAAGTGATATAGAAGTTTGCTTAATGTTTGAATTAAACTGTTTCAAAAACATGTCAGAGGCCAGCAGGTGGCATGGTAGTTAAGCACTTGATTCCCACGTGGCCAACTGTGCTTTGAGTCCCGGACTGACAACTTGAAAATCACTCCAGGGAGACCAGCAGGATGGTGTAATGGCTATGTCGCTGGACTCCCACATAGTCCACCAGGGTTCGAGTCCTGGACCCGGTGGCTTAAAACTCATGCAGGCCCATGTGCGTCCGTGCCCAAGATCCTGAGAGGAGAATGGAGGAGAAGGGATTGTGGTGTGACCATCCCCTCTGTGGGGTGATTTCTCACTTTCTCTGTCTTTGTGCCCTCCTCTGGCAAGCACACAGGGCCTATGACAAAACTTTAAAAAAAAAAAAAGTATGTTGAATTCATAAGGTGTTTTAATATTGATGAAATAAAGCATAAAGTGTATATTTATAGATATTTATAAATACGGGACTATCATTTGAGTCTCAGTTTTGAAGTTTGTTTCTCCCTCCGTCCAAGTATTTGTGATAGTTTATAATATGAGTAAAACAAAAAGACAGTCATTCTATTTTCTTTGATCTAAAAAGCTACCTAATATTATTCCCAGTTGGAATTTTCTAAGAAGACCAGAAGTGTTTTAACACGTGTTGGAAAGTTCCAGCATGTTTCTAAGGGATCGTACATAACTAAAATTGGTCACTTAAAATATGGTAAACTAAACAGCTCGGACGACATTCTATCTGGCGTCTGGAAGAGCTGAGCGGCCGACCTGTTTGTCCGGGACAGAGCCAGCTCTCCCCGCAGCAGCTAGGTGCCCAGGAGCGTGAGGGAGGGAGGGAGGACAGAGCCGCCCAGCTCTCCTCTTGATGGGTCTGCTGACTGGGAGGAGTACCCACCACATTGCTTTCCCTCTTTATAGAAGGACTAACGATGGCTGCTGACAGTTGTCCTTGTTGTTTCAGTTTTGAAAAGTGAGGTGCATGACCTGCGAGTCGTGCTGCATTCTGCCGACAAGGAGCTGTCTTCGGTGAAGTTGGAGTACAGTTTATTCAGAGAGGGTCAGGAGAAGGAGCTCGGCAAGCTTTCCGAGAGACACCTGCACACACAGCTGCAGCTGGATAGCGTCAGGTACGCCGGTGCTGCTGGAGCTGCAGGCCTGCAGGCGTGGGTGCTGTGACCCAGGCGCTCTCGGGGCCGTGGGCCTGCGGGGCGCGGGCACTGTGACTCAGGCGCTCTCCGGGCCATGGGCCTGGGGGTGCAGGTGTTGTGACCCTGGTGCTGCTCTGGAGCCGCGGGCCTGCAGGCGCAGGTGCTGTGGCCCAGGTGCTCTCGGGGCTATGGGCCTGCGGGGTACGGGTGCTGTGACCCAGGCATTCTCTGGGCCGTGGACCTGCGAGCGCGGGTGCTGTGACCCAGGCATTCTCAGGGCGTGGGCCTGCAGGGTATGCTCCCTAATGGGAGCGCCTGGGTCATAGCACCTAGTGGTTTATTTAATTTAAATAAAGTTAAATGAATACTTCTTTTTTTTATTTAAAAAAAAAAGACTTTTAAAAATAATTAAATAAATAAAAATACATTTTTGTGGGGGGAGAGGTTTTTGCTATAGGGCGTGTGTGCTTGCCAGAAAGACAGAGAGAGACAGACAGATAGAATGTGAGAAATCACCCCCTGGGGGGATGGCCATGCCGCAATCCCTTCTCCTCCATTCTCCTCTCAGGATCTTTGGGCACGCACACACACGTGCCCGGCGTGAGTTTAAGCCACCTGGTTCAGGCCACATGGGAGTTCAGCAACATAGCCATTATGCTAACTGCTGGTCCCAATAAAAGTACATTTTGCATAGGAAAATATGTCATGATTTTTCTGACCCGTGGGTAACACAGTCTATTCAACTTCATGTTTGTCGTGTCGCTCATAGCGCTGCGTGCGTATACCCATGACAGCCCCCTGGAGAAAGAGCATAGCACTGCCACGTGGACCTTGAATTGCTCTGCCTACTTTGTACCGTTTATACCATGAGCACAGAGACGCTCCCTCGCCTCCCATCCATTGTGGGGGTGTCTGCCTCTGTGACTGATTCACACCGCTTCGTCATCTGCGCTCCACTCTGCTTGGAGTTAGTACGCAGCTCGCTCTGTGGCCAGTGGCCAGTGCGTAAGCTGGCACACATGTTCCGGATGGTCCAGAAGTCAGGCTGGTGGTCTGCTGGTTCTTAGCTCAGCTCAGGGTGCTCGGGCACGCTTCAACTTGCTGGGGAAGGGAATACGAGGATGAAAACCCAAAAGGTAGTAGCTGTTTGTCTAGAGAATTTTCTCTCTTGCTCAAATCAAAGCCTCATTTGCCATCTTAAAAGAAGTCTCCCGAGGGACCAGCAGATGGTGTAATGGTTCCGTCGCTGGACCCCCACGTGGTCTACTGCTGTTCAATCCCGGATCCAGCAGCTTAAACTTATGCCGGGTGTGTGTGCATGCATGTCCAAGATCCCAAGAAGAGGATGGAGGAGAAGGGATTGCTGGGTGGCCATCCCCACCGGGGGATGATTTCTTGCTTTCTGTCTCTCTGGCAAGCGCTCACATCCTACAGCAAAAATCTCTCTTAAAAATAAAGAGAAGCCTCCTGAGAGCTGGGAGAATATGTGTGGACATAATACTTGGAGAATAACAGCCAGTACCCGGCTTACACGAGGGGGCGCAC